CGTTTTTAATAAAAAAGAAATTTAAACATTTTCTATGCATGTAAGTGAGTTTGTATTGAAATAGTATGTAATAAAAATTTAATTTTATTAACTAAATTTAATGAATTATATTTTTTATAATTTTTAAACATTAATTATATTTTTAAATAAATAAAACTTTATAATTACATGAAAAATAAACAAATATATGTGAACAGTGACTTTATATATCAAGCTTTCTATTTGTACTTGGTAGCGGTGGTGACATCGGCACAGTTGAGTGATAACATAACGTTAAGAAAGATTCAGGACTTTAATAGTGATTGAATCTAGGTCACACGCGCGGGGTATAACACAGGTAATTTCAGCAGTAACGTGTGTCTGTACTATACCCTCAGAAATCCTGAACGCGTTAACAATTAACAAGGGAGCTCGTTTTATCTTCATGTTCGGTTGTCAGGGGAAGTCAGAAGTGTCAGGATTTCATTAAATAAATTTCTCGTAAGGACCTTGGAAGACGGCTGAGTATATCCCAGCACTAAGCGAACTTACGAATGGCTTTATTAAGAATGTATATTAGTAACCATTTGTAAGAACTTACAAAAAATGTTTAAAATAAAAAAGAATTTTTTTTTGCTATTTTGAAATTAATTTACTAGCAAATAATATACATTAAAAGAAGATTGCTGTGAAATATTAAATAATTTGGTCCCTTTGTGTAATATTGCTGTTTATCTCTTATTTATCACACCAATATTGTTTAAATTTGTGTGGCTGATAACCAAAATGTTTACCTCATTCGTGGTTGTAAATTAGCATATTTTTATTAGGCGAAAAATTATAAATTATTAATAGAAATTTTATTGGATATTTAATGGGAAAAACTGCGAGAGAATGCCTACGTAGGGGAACCCGGGGTAACTAAATATGCATTCTTTCGGACAGCCAAGTAGCTCTAAAATCTTTAGCAAAACTTCATTTCAGTCAAAGTTGGCCTGGGAATGCTTTCAACTTCTCAATACTCTAGCATCGAAGAACTATGCTACTCTTATGTGGGTACCGGGACATGAAGATGATGAGGGCAATAAAATAGCAGACTCCCTACCAAAGATGGGTGCATGTAGTGCATTCATTGCTTCACGGGAGAAACAACATCTACTTGAAAACTGTTCAAAGAAGCATACGAAAGTCAAGAAGATTCATTGATCCAGCACATCAAAGTTAATGCCATCCTTGGTCTTGGAACTTGAAATGTCAATATCTTGCAACTACTAAAAAGACAACATCCAGAAACATCTAAAGTGATGAAACCCCGACGTCATAGCATCATATTAATTCTTTTAAAACTATTTGTTTAAATAATGAGTTGTCTTTTTAGGATATTTCTACTACACAAAAATATTTTGTCAGAACTGTACAAGGTGAGAATGCAGTATCGTTTGAACAAAACCACGGAGCTTCAGAATTAATCGTAAACCGCGTCTAAGTGAAGGTGCCACGGGTCGAGCAAGAACGGCTCGAGATATGATTTGCTTAGACCGAGGTGTAGATCGCGGTGGCAGGTACTAGCAACGGTGTGGACAAATTCAACACCTTAGTACCTGTAATTGAGTCCAGTGTTGAAGCCAACGCACAGTGGGGTAATTGACCCTGATTTTGTGGATTAATTCGAAAAATATATTTTGGATATCGTAGTCATATTTGATATTAGGAGAAAGTAGATAAAATTCTGCAACACTGGCTGAAAAAATTAATGTTATATATATAACGGTATCTCTATAGCACGCTTCAGAATTTACATATTTATTCATTGTTAAGCTGTGTCAAGAGTGCGCTGAACATTTTTTAGTGATTTGAAGTGCTAATTGAAATAAAATTTTATTTACAAGTAATTTTTGACTTATGGAACCTTCAAGCTCAGGTATTTTTCTTATATTTAAATGAATTTGCGATTACAGAATAAGTGTATAAATAATTAAAAAAAATTTATTTGTTATAGTCTTGAAATTACATGTATTTTCAGCAAATTAATAAAAGTTATTTTTGCAGTAAAATGTACTAATAATTCCAATTTATATGTAAAGTATATATATTTGACTACCGCGTGGCAAAATATTAAGTTGCCCTTTTGTGCCTTTTCTGAAATATTCAGATTTTAGTGCTGCAATGTCTGCACCAATTTGCTCACTGTAATTGATAATTATTGTATGTAAGCAAACATTGTTGATATAATGTGTTTGTTTCTTCTTTTGTTTTGTTCTGTTTTTGTAATAAGTAACAATAAAAGTGATGTCAACGTAATTTGCGAAAGGTAAAAGGGGAAAAGAATGTGATTTCTAAAAGTTATCTGATAATAAGAAAATGTATTCTCTTTATAGGAACCTTATCAAACACTATTTTCATTTCACGTCAGACGCTGTATGATATTATGAAAAACTCAGGGTTTGAAGGGTTTGAAGAGAAATTTCAATTCTTAAAAAACGAAATAAAAAATCGTACTGGTGCGGCAGACGAAGGCACAAATTTGGAAGAGATTCTGAAAAATTTTTGTAGGCATTTTAAAATACGTTGGGCAAAAGCACACAGAGTAGAAGATCGCTTTCTCAAATTAAACCGTAATTGGTTAGATTCATCTATAGGATTTACTTCTTATAATAAATGTAAACGCGGTTGTAAAGAATTACATTTAAAGAGTGTGATGTATCCACTAGATACAAAAAAACCAAAATTCTACGAGAGAGTTATTCGCTGCCTATGCTTGCTTTTGCTACCAAGGTAAATTTAAAAGCTTCAGGAAATATTGAGGGTTCTAAGTTGGTATACGAATTATCAACATCTTCACCAACAAGAGCAGAAAAGTATAAAAAAAATTTAACTGAATCAATGGAAAAAGGCAAGAAAATTACGAATGAAAAAGCGTTGGCTATAATTGTTGATGCTCAGTTAACGCGGCATCAATATAACATCATCAGGCAGGCTGCTCCAGATCGTTTTCCGTCATATTCATCGGTACAGTCAGCTAAAAAACTTTGCTATCCACATTCCGACTATATTAAAATAACTGAAACTTCGGCTGAAGTTGAGTTAAAAGCACTTCTAGTACTGTTACAAAATTCCGTTATTGTTACTTTATGCGAAAAAGAATTAACAAGTTTTTGTTTACAAACTAAGTGGGGATTTTATGGAAGCTCTGGCCATACCTCATTTAAACAGGCCTCAACTTCAACTCAAAAGTGTTACTTATGCGGTGCAACTAGTGCAAAGTTTAATTCAGTTGATGAAATGATTGCTAAAAATGTTGAAACTTCTAGTCTTAGTTTTGGGTTGTCGGTATTGCATGGTTGGATAAGGTTTTTTGAATGTTTACTGCATTTATCATATAAATTACCCATAAAAAAATGGCAAGCAAAGTCAGAATACGATAAAAAAATTGTCATGGAAACAAAGAGACGTATTCAAAAAGACTTCAAAGATAGAGCTGGTTTAATCGTTGATCAACCAAAACCTGGATTTGGTAACTCAAATGATGGGAATACAGCCAGAAGGTTCTTTCAAAATGCAGAGCTATCGGCTGAAATCACTAGTGTTGATTTAGATTTAATAAAAAGGATGCATATCATATTGATTGTTGTTTCTTGTGGCCATGAAATAGAAATTAAAAGGTTTCGATGTTTTGCACATGAAACTGCTAGACATTTTGTATCGAAATATGCTTGGTATAATATGCCTCCTACGCTACATAAATACTTTATTCATGGTCCGGAAATAATATCGCACGCTATGTTACCAATTGGCCAATTAATGGAGGAAGCGCAAGAAGCTCTTAACAAAGAATTTAAAAAATATAGAGAACATTTTACACGTAAATGTAGCAGAGAAAAGACCAATTACGATATTTTGAATAGGTTTCTCATTAGTTCTGATCCCGTTATTTCAAGCCTTAGAAAACTGAATAAAAAAAAGTTTCAACATATGCCACCATTAGCTTTAAATCTTTTAAAATCACCACCTGTAAAAAATACTAATTTCCAATGTATCAGTGATGATTATGATGGTCATGACGATGATGATGACGATAATGGTGATGATGCTGACAATAAGGATTATATTTTATAATGTATATATGATTACGGTAAAAGTAACCAAAATTCAATATGTTAATGAAAACTTTGTAAAAAAAAAAACAACAATAAAAAAAATTTTTTTTTTATTTTTCCGTTCTATATATATATATAAAAGTAGTCAACAATCAGCTTTTCAACTCAGGTGAATTTATCGCCATTTTAAGGGTCTTTTACCCCACTGTGCGACGTGGCGGACGCTGTGCAACACCCACCACCAAACCGATACGAAAACTTCAAAAATCAGATCATCGAACGATATATCGAATCTGAGAGGTTATTATCAGACGTCGAACATGGTGACCACCGGCCCACTCAACTATTAAATGAAGGACGACGACAAATTTAGCGACGAGTACTTGCTCCAACGTTTGCCTCCACAAATGCGCGCAATCCTTTAGACATCAAATATTAAACTGATCAAGTTAGCCAAATTGGCTGACAAGATTTGCGAAACAGGCGATTATCACCTGATCGCGGTAACGTCTTTAGGCAGGAAAGGTAGCTGGTCAGAAGCCGCCAAGGTTTGTCAGCGCTTATACTAAAGCGATCAACGATTGACACGTTTAGATATACACTCTCGTCCACAGCAGGGTAGTCATACGTCAAAACTTGCCACGAAGGCAGTTACTACGCACAAATGTGTTTCTACCTTAAGTTTTTCAGACTGTTTTTAGCATGCATCATACCTATAAGAGTCTTACATAAATAAAACTAAATGGTATCCAAAGCTACAAAGCAAGTAGGCAAGAAATTGTTAATATTGCAATGAACTTGTGAAAATAACTTTATTGGTGAATTATTAAATTTCAATATTTTATTTTAATGTCATATATATATATTTTTTACAGTTTGATTTAATAAAGTAATATTGTAAAGTTACCTCTTACGTTTCTACAGGATGACGAACCACCAGAAATTTGTGTAGTGGAAGGCGCGTTTACATTACAAACTTTAACGCCCACTCAACCAATGCCATCTGTCGATGAAGTTGATACAAAGTTTGCCGAACTCGTCGAGGAACTTGATTTGACGGCACCAAATAAGGCAGCAATGTTAAGTTTGCCTCCACAAAAAAAGTGGCAAATTTATGGGTCACGTAAGTCCCCACTTGATACCATTGATGGAAGTTCAGCTACAAATCTCAACCTACCACCAACTGTAGAACACTATATAGAGCAGTTGAAAGATCTCTTACATCACCTTCCTATAGATCCAGAGGAGTCACCATATCATGAGTGCAATACACGCATGGAAAGTCACAAAACATTCATTGATGCTCTTAAAACTGCACTGCGCACCTCAACACATAGTTTTGTGTTGCGGTTTGTTGAATTAGACGGTTTACCAGCATTGTTAAGCCTTCTACAGAATATGAATATAAGTGTAGCGAATAATATGCTACACACTAGTCTCATTGGTTGCATTAAAGCCTTAATGAATAATTCAGTAAGTTGCTAGTTATTTTTGTTAAAGAATATACGGGTAAATAAATTGTTTTTCAAAACTAGTTCTATGGACAAGAATCGATTGCAAATCGTTTTAATTTGTAACATTTTTTCTAAAGATTTCAAAATGCGTTCAGAATAATAAGAATATATTTAAAAAAATGAAATTAATACAAATTTCTATTATAAATAATCTGTCCAATAGAAACGACAATTAGGATCTGCATTAGATTCCTTTTTATACACCACATTAAACATTTGTATTCATGTCCTTATCGTTCACTTCTATTTGTACATGACAAAATATATCAACGCATTTTTTATAATTTTTTTTTGTATTGATTCATTTAGTCAACATATTTTATATAAAATATTTTTTGAATGTTAATGTTAATATATTAAATATATAATGGGTTAAAAGAATTTGATCTGTTAGTCCACTAAAAAGAAATTGTAATGCTTCATTGGTACTTCGCATCAGTTCTGTCATTTGTCAAAGAAGTTTCCTGATACAATACATTAAATTTAAACACACTAATTTTAATAGTGGTAAAATTATTAATACAATGTTTATACTACACCTAAACGTCTTATCATATTGAAAATTTAGCGTTTGGCAAATAATATCTCAAGTTAATATAATATAAAAATAAATGTCCTTAAAAATGCAAATTTATAAAGACGACGCAGAATAAAAAAATGTATGTACAAGTTAGAAATATATTACTTAAAACGTGTTTTTGATTTACTTTTAAAGTGTAGAAACTATAATGTTGTTTTTATACTTAATGTAGACTGGCCGTTCTCACGTACTCGCACATCCAACTTCGATAGATATTATTGCGCGTTCACTGGCTGCAGATAACATTAAGACTAAAGTAGCTGCATTAGAAATACTGGGTGCTGTGTGCTTAGTACCTGGTGGACACAGAAAAGTATTGCAATCAATGATCAATTTTCAAGATTTTACAGCTGAACGAACACGTTTTCAGGTTTGTAGGACATATACGAATATATAAAAATAGTATATATATAATACGTAACTGTATATATTTCAGAGTATAATTAATGATTTAGATCGTTGGTCTGGTGCTTATCGTGATGACGTTAATTTAAAAACTGCAATTATGTCATTCATAAACGCTGTTCTTAATTACGGCCCTGGTCAAGAAAATTTAGAATTTCGACTACACTTGCGCTATGAATTTTTAATGCTAGGTATACAGCCTATCATAGACAAATTAAGAAAGCATGAAAATGAAACTTTGGACAGACATTTGGTATTACTTCTATGAAATAAATCTAAATTTTTAAAATATCTTAAACCATCATATAGGATTTCTTTGAAATGGTTAGAACCGAAGATGAAAAGGAATTAGCACGTAAATTTGACCAGGAGCACGTCGATACTAAAAGTGCCACAGCCATGTTCGACATATTACGTCGAAAGTTAAGCCATTCATCAGCATATCCACATTTACTTTCTTTATTGAAACATATGTTGCTGTTACCATGTAAGTATACAACTACAATGACATTACAAAAAAAAAAAAATCATTAAGGAACATAATTTCATGTGACTAAGATACTGGTCACTGTACACAGCATTGGCTCATGTTTGACCGAATCGTGCAACAAATTGTATTGCAAACTCAAGAACGTCCACACTGCGATATAGATTCTGATGAATCACATAATGACAAACGAATAAATTTTCCAGAACACAACCCAGATGTTGCGCCCCTTAAAATAAATGTCAATAAAATCATACATCTGCTAGTAAAGGAGGAGGAATTAATTGAAGGACGAAAACGAGCGAATGAATTAGAAAAAGAAAACTTTGATGTACAATCACGTTTAGCTAAAAAAGAACAAGAACTTGATTTGCGGATGCAGGAGAAAGAAGACTTAGAAACAGGTCTATCACGCATAAGAGAGCGTTTGGAAAAAGAATCAGCTTATCACTCACAAGCTGTACAACGCGCACAAATTGCTGAAATGAAATCTGAAGAGTTACAACATCGTCTCATAAATGAGCAACAAGAACGCGCACGACTAGAACGTTTAGTAACTGAGGGCAGCATACCAGATGATCAAAAGGTAGCCGGACTAATAGGTTGTAATGTGACATGTACACCACAATCACCTCCTATGAAGATTATACCTCCACCACCACCACCAATTACAGCAGTACCTCCTCCACCACCACCGTGCCCTGGGGCACCATCTTTATTAATCGCGCAGGCAATGGGTACCCGATCTTAAAATTAAAAAGATGATCATTATTCATAAAAATTTTTTCTGACTACTTCAGCTCCACCACCACCAAAATCTGAAGTGCCAAAAAAGAATGTGCCTCAACCCACAAACCCACTTAAAAGTTTTAATTGGTCTAAATTACCTGATGCTAAAGTGCAAGGTACAATTTGGAATGAATTGGATGAATCTAAATGGTATACAAACATAGAGTTAGAAGCGATAGATAAGCTTTTTTCAGCTTACCAGAAAAATGGTGTGTCGGTGGTACGTTTAAAACTACATATTACTTAAATCTATTTTTATATACTTTAATATAATAGCAGAACGATGGTTCCATTGAAGACTTGCCTGTAATGGGCAAGCACCGTGCTAAGGTTATTTCTGTTATAGATGGTCGGCGTGCTCAAAATTGCACGATATTGCTGAGTAAACTAAAAATGTCCGATGAAGAAATATCTAAGTATTTAAGTAATGAAAACTGTTATATATATTTTTGACATTATCTTGTTTTATGTGCAGAGCAATTTTATCAATGGATTGTAATGAGCAATTAGCACTTGACATGGTTGAACAATTGTTAAAATTCACACCATCAGCAGAGGAAAGAGGTTTATTAGATGAGCACAGTGAAGATATTGAATCACTAGCGAGAGCTGATCGTTTTTTGTACGAGATTTCTAAGTAATTATATTAAAAATATCAAGCTTTGTTTTTTTAATATTACATAAGTTTCCGTTACTTAGAATAGCACATTATGAACAACGTCTAAAGAGCTTACATTATAAAAAACGTTTTATGTTTACGGTAAATGATCTTATTCCACGCATTACTAGTATAATGGAGGCATCGCGTGAAGTAGCACGATCCAGACGATTAAGAAAATTACTGGAATTAGTTTTAGCACTAGGTAAATGGCTTCCATTTTTTTATCAATAATTTAGTGAACTTATAAAATTAATTTTATTATTTATTTTTCTCTAAATTTGAATATATATATTTTGAAATGATTCTATATTAGAATAATTGGTATTTTTTTAGGTAACTATATGAATCGCGGTGCACGAGGTAATGCATCTGGTTTTCGCCTAGCTTCGCTCAATCGTCTTGCTGATACGAAATCAAGTGCTGCTAAGGGTACAACTTTGCTACACTATCTAGTGCAAGTAATCGATAGAAAATTTAGAGACTTACTAAAACTAGAAGACGATATACCACATGTTCGTGAAGCCTCCAAAGTTTCTTTAGGAGAAATGGAAAAAGATATTCAAACATTGCGCACTGGGTTAGCAGAATTGGTGCGTGAAATTGAGTTTCATCGAGCATCAGGACCAGCGCAACAAAGTGATCGTTTTCTACCTGTGATGCGTGAATTTCATGCTACTGCTTCAGTAAGATTTGCTGAATTAGAAGATAGGTTTCAGGATATGAAAACGCGCTTCGATCGTGCTGTAAGACTATTTGGAGAAGATGGCTCTATATTGCAACCTGATGAATTTTTCGGTATTTTCGACGCATTTCTTTCTGCTTTTTCTGAAGCTAAGCAGGATAATGAAAATTTCCGCAAAAGACAAGAAGAAGAAGAAAAACGTGCGAAACAAGAAGCGGAACTTAAAAGACGAACTTTAGAGCGTAAAAATAAGGAAGGGCTTATATCCTCTGTTGCACGCAATTTGGGTTTCAAGTCACCAACCAATGGAGACTTGCCGATTAAAGGCGATAATAAAGGTGAATTTGATGATTTAATTTCAGCGTTACGTACCGGCGATGTATTTGGTGAAGATATGGCCAAATTCAAGCGATCGCGTAAATCTCGACTTAATAGTGTCAGTATTTCTCCTCCAAAGCATGGACTGCATCGCGAAGAAAGTCGAGAACGTACAATTAGAAAACAATAAATAATATTTCGCAGTTTTATTTCAGTATTCAAGATTTCTGTAGATTTAGAGTAACATATTTTATTGAAATTGTTTCAAGATTTTAAACTTGATTGGTTTATTGCTGTTTCGAATTTCAAACAATATTGTAAAGAATTGTCTTACTCAAATGTTTATAAATTTTAACTGAATAAAGCTTTTTTTTCTTCCGAAAGGACAGTTTATTAACATTTTTTATATGAATTTGTAACTAATATTAACTTTGTAACTTTTAAATTATGTATAAATGAAAGCGAAACCAAATTTTAACAAATATAATCAAACAAATTGACACAAGAACAAACCGTTTTTTTTATCAAGTATGTAATTTACATACAAATAATATTGATAATTATTTACTTACACTGCATTGTTTTTCACAGAAAAGGTTTTAATTGGAGATTTGGAATCATGCGATTCACCTTGTATTTTTGATTATTATTATTTGAAGAAGCAAAATACTTATATACCTTACATTTTTCGAAGTATGATAAAAAAGTGGTACTCAATGAACAGGGTACTTGGTACGGGTAGTTCAACACCACATATAAGTTATGCCACATACAAATAATATACACATTGCGAATGCAAAACAAAAAAATAACTCCAATGATTTCATAGCAGCCAGCTTGAATAGCTAGCTAAAAGCACATATGAGATTTGGATTGTAGAACAATTAGGACAAACAAAAGCTGCGTATAACACAATGATCTTAAGTGTTCGAAACATACAAAATAACTGTTGAATATGCGTATGAGGTGGTGTATGATATAGTATAGAAATTGGTGCTATATTTTCTATTTATATAGTTTGTTTACGTGCTTATGTGATTTATATAGCGACAGTTTTTTGTTTTGCATTATGTTTCCTGAGTTTTTCTACATCGAGACAAAAGGACAATCAGTGAAGTGCAATTTTTTGTTTTTATTTTTATTTACAAAATTTGTTTTCTTTTTAAATAATGAGGAAATAGAAGGGAAAGGACGTTTGATAGTAGTCAAAGACGAAGAAGAGCTATTTGGTGCTGAGCGGACGTACAAACACCACTAACACTTCTATTCTTCATTCTAATTGCACACCTTCTAAATGCATTCATATGTAAGGATAAGTAGGGGAATATTTCTGAAGTTAATGCATAATTTTTGTTTTTATATATATTTTTCGTAAAATATATGACTTTGTGTGCATGCAATGTACAAGTTTTTCTAAATTATTACAAATTTGATTTTTGATGAAATTTTATACTGGGCCCTGTTGCACCAACACTTTTCACTTTTCACTTTGCAAAACTTATGAGTGACTTTTTTTTGCAAAGTACAAGTGAAAAGCGTTGCACCAAAGATTTAACATAATTTACTTTGCACTTTGCAAATAAAAATTTCACTGCAAAGTCTTTGCATAAAATGCAAAGCAAAGCGTTGCACCAAAAAATTAGATCACTTTTATTTTGTATTGGTTTTTGAAAGCATTTCGTTTCTGTACGTATACTTGTTTTTTGTTTGTTTGATAATTTGATGCTATGAGTACATGATTTATGCATAGTATGTACTTATGAGTTTAATTTTTGTTTAAAATAAAAGTTTTTAAAATAATATTTTATTTTAATAATTTATATTATTACAATTTGTAATATTTGTATAATTTTAGTACAATTATATGTTATACATTAATACAAAACACAAAATTTTTGTATATGATTTCTTTTATTGACATTGAATCGTAGATAAAGAAGTTGTGTATATCCATATATATTGTATATATCCATTAAGCATTTTTATGCTTTTAATTTTTTTTGCAGTTTGAAAAGTTATAAAAAAAGAATTTAAATGTAAAGAGTATGAGTATGAGTTGTTTTAACAACAATTATATTGAAAAACAAAGTTAACAAATATAATAAGTTGCTTTTATATAAAAATTTAGTTGAAAATCTGTCATTATTATTTAATTTTAAAATATTATAAGTTATTAAAGTATAGTTTACTTGTCGCTGTGTATTATCGTAATAGAAAAGAAACCTACGCATAAAGGGCCTAAATTACTGATTTTATTTAGAACATTTCTCTCAATTTATACAAAATTACCTTATAACTAACTTAACTAATTTTATTAATTTTAGTGGACTGTATTATTTTTAATTACATTTCAAACAAGGTTCAAAAAACGACGGAAGTCCAGGCACTTGTGATTTTTTCTTCTATTGTCTTTAGAAATATATTTTTATTATCATAATTAGATACGGATAATTAGATATTTAAAAATGTTACAATGTTAGCTATTATAGGATATTTTTTACCCATGTTTTTTCTTAGTTCATAATTCGGAGAATTTGAACGATTACAGACTTATAATAATAATAAACTGATCATTATAATAAATAAGTGTTCATGCTTAAACAATAATTCACATAAAATATTTATATTAAATGTATTATAAATTTTTTTTAGAAACTGAACTCTTTTATTCACAATTTAAAAGTATTGTCCGGTAATATATCCCTTTAATTATTGCAACTAAATTTATTTCAAAAACAGCAATAATATTTGCTTAAACTAATTTTCTATTTCTATTTTTTTGAAACTCTTTTTATTTATTTATTAATGATTTCTTTAATTTTACGCATTTTGTCTTTTATTAAGACAAAACTTTTCTTTTGTGTAAAGCAATCATTTGCAAAATTTGCAGGGTGAATTAATCATTTGCAATTTTTTTGTAAAGTTTTGCAGTTTACTTTTGCAAAGCGTAAAGTAAAAAGTATTGGAGCAATAGAAAGTGCAAAAAAACCAGTTTTTTTGTCAAATATTTCACTTTTCTTTTCATACTTTACTTTTCATTGAAAAGTACATTGGTGCAACCATTGAGTATAAATATTATAGAGTAGCAATCTCAAACAAGCAAATTTTTGTATGAGGTTGCTGCTGCTGGCAACCTTTTTGCACTCAAAAAACACTCCATTCTCTTCATGTCTTGTTTTCTGAATTGCTTTGGAAATTAAAGTAAAGGGCAAAACGATTCTCTCAAATAACTCTTTTCGTCGTTTGTTATATTGATCAGTGCTTCTGCGAATTTATTAGGAAGGTATATGTAAGAAAAAAATATTACTCTAGTTTTTTTGTGTGCTTTCATATTGCATGTGCACTTTACTAGCATACATACAGTAACGAACAAAATTATTGGCACGTAAGCAAATTGAACTATTAAAAATCGCATTATTAACAGGATAAAAATAGTGCAAAAGTTCAATTTGCTTGCTGTGCCAATAATTTTGTTCATCACTGTATATGTTTACATATTTCTTTTCTATTTCTCAGCATGTAGGTATGTTTGTATTAATTTTGCATCCAATATTAAGAAATTGTAAGCGTAAAAAGAAGATTGGTTTTTTTTTTATTTCATATCAGAAACAATGCTACTATTATTTTTATTGTTTTGATTCTGATTTAAAGCGCGGTGCAGACTATCATACTGGTATGTCATACGAGAGAGAAAAACGTCGTATGACACACAGGTATGATAGTCTGCCACCTTTACCAACGTGTTGGCGTGCTCACCAAAATTTTGGTGAACAGCTCCCGCATACACGTTGTGTATGATAGTCTGTCACCCCTAACGATTCATACGTCATACAAGAGCATTTTTGCCTTGCAAATTTATTGTAAGCAGGTGGAATATGTAGAATTATAATATAAATGTAATATGTTTTTTATTATTTTATTATTAATGTATTTATTATTATTATATTTATTATTATTATTAAAATTACACTTATAAATTTGTGTTAAATATCTAATTGTATTTTAATTAAAAAAATATAAATTTTTATATAAAATTCTTATAAAAAATTCGAGTACAATTAAATATTTTATTTAATTTATTGAATATTTTATTTAATTTTATTTTAATTTATAAACGATGATTATAAGTAATTTGTTATCTAAATATAAACATCGTTGAATTAACGATCTAAGCCTAGTAATTAAAAAACGTATTGAAAATTGGTCGTAATAACAATTAATTAATAACCTAAATTTAAGATACAATACTCTGTATTCTAAATATTTTTTTTTCTTTATTAAAACTTATTAAAATAAAAGAATTTTAAATGACGACAATGAAGATATGCACATTCTTTTATTATTTGTATGGTCTATTTATTTGTAAAGAAATTTTCCAGGTAGTGAATGAAATTAATTACGGTCCTTTACTGACATTTTCATTTTAACTACTGTACTTAATGAACTTTGTATTTCTTACTATTTAAGCAAAGTAATATATAATAAAATTTTATTTTGATCTTCACTCAAAACTTCACCCGAAAAGCACCCTTCAAAAATTTTGCGTAAATGACGACTCTTGTGTATCATACCTGTTCAAATTCGGTCGCTAGAAGAAATTTGAGCAAGAGAGAGCGCAACTCCCCAGTAGAAAAAGTGGTCTTCGAAGACATTGTCTTCAAGACGGTCTTTGATACCGCGTCCGCATGTTCAAGCAAATTTGCAAAACAATTGCTCAAAACATGAATGTAAATACTCTTTCTTTGTTTTCTCTCTCATTTTTAGTGTTCATAGCAACGTATTTGAATTTTGCCTCAGATGACGCTATGTTTTATAAATGAAGTGACGCAATAATTTTGAAGTGTAGTAAATAAACATTTGTGAAATAAATATTAAAAAAATCAAAATGAATAAAGAAACAAAATCATTAAACTATGAAATATTAAAAAAAAAGAAATTAAATCAAAACAAATTAAATAGTGACTTAGTTCCTGGAAAATATATTGATATTAATATTGAAGACAATAATTCCAGTAAAAGTTGTTTAAGAAACGAAACAAACGATGTTGAAAATAAAAAAACTAAAAACACTTGTGAAAAATTAGCTGTTATATTTAAAAAACACAGGATTAACAGGCGTTGTGGTAATGATATTTTAGAACTCTTAAGATCAGAAGGTTTAATTGTACCAAAATCCTCTTCAACGCTTTTGAAAACATATAAAACTTCAACAATTGATGATAGCGAAATGCTATAAATTATTTTATATTAGTTTTAGTTAATTTTAGATATGCTAAGTTATATTAAGTTAATTATTTAAATTAATTTTCATTATGTTTACTAGTTTTTACTAGTTTATTATTAATATCTTAATAAAATTTATAATAATTTATAATAAAATTTA